TTTGCAGCACTCCTTTCTTTTCTCAAGTAGGGGATGCTAAAGTAGTTGAGACCCCAGAGGAGAGGAAAGCACTGCAATCAGTCCTAAACTAAAGAAAGGTAGATGCGACTTCGTTCCTTTCTTTTCTTATAAGAGTGTTAGCGCACTGAATCTCAAGGCAATTGCACCTTAGATCAAGAAGTTTCCGCTTCCTCGTTTGAGCTGCTCCAAACCTTTTCAATCCAAACACAACTTTGAAGTCGGCTTGACTTGCTTCTTTCTCTTGTTCTAACGCTACTCTTCCGTCCCTGATGAAGAACGTTTTTTTCTCCTTACCTTAGATGAATAAATAAATAGGGCGGAGTCCAGGTTTGAAGTTTGCGTGTTGAAGACAGGAGAGATCGAATCGAAAGGGGCTGTGCTTTTCACACCATTCCATTATATGTCGGTTGTATTCAACTCATTCTCTGGCTCCGGCTACCTACTGTGGTTTCCCCGAATTCCTCACCTCAGATCTCGCTAAGACAGTCGTCTTGGATTGAGAGATGAAATCCTTCCCAACCTGAGATTCTTAATATAATATATAATATAATAATAATAGTAGGCTACATGCTTCTTGCCTCGTTCTGTGATCCATAGAGGAGAATGGGATGGGATCTCGAATCCATCAAGATGGTCAGTGTATGTTCTTTCTTGTCGATTGGTCGTGAAGAGGGATTGCCTATCTAATGAAGGCCGATCGGAGTTCCCGCGCTTCAAGTTTCTTTCATACGGACATACATCAAGCTCTTCTTTGGGAAGACCATCGGGGATGACTAGCCTTCATTGCCTAGCAGCTCATCTCTAGCTCTCTCTTTCTCCTCCCTAACACCCTACTCTCTCCTTGTGCTTTGATGCGGATCTCAGGTAGAAATTTCATAAGAGAAGAAGAATCTAATCCCTAAAGCTATTCTGGTACTATCGCCATTACCGCTGTAAGATTTTTCCTTGCCCTAAGACTGACTGAAGAAGATGGTATCAAGCCCGAATTAATCCTACTTCTATGAGCAGACAATTACTGAAAACTTTCAACATCATGCCTTCTTTTTTTTTTGCGGCTATTACTATTTTCGGTGAAGAGTAGCTTTCCCTGTTTGTTATAGTAAGCAATTCTAGGCCCCCCTGGCATAAGCAAGTCATTTTATCCGTTCCCCATCCCCATGGGTTACTTCACTTGTCGCAGCCGTCCGTTCCGACGTCTAGGGACATCTCGAACATTTATGCGAGCGGTCGCGAAAAGATGGTTTAGACTCGCATTTTATGTTAAAATATGTTCATTGCTTCCGAGGTGCTCAACAACTGAACTATCCTCTAATAAAAGTAAGGTTTTCGCAAAAAGGGTTCTTATGGAGTCGCTACCAATGTTTTGACCATAAACATTGGAAAAGGATAAAAAGGCGTTGATTTTAAGAAAAACCAAACTTGGCCATTATAACCAGAGTTGGGTAAGGGAGTTAGTTACGTGTGGGGAAGGTGTTAGCACCCTACAACGCCCCTTTCGGGTTCCCTATGACGAATTAATTCATCAAGTAAAGATTAAGAGAAATTACGTTATTACCCTATTTTATTTATACAATATTTAAAAATGGCTATCTACATGATTTTATTTTCCATTGTATTCATAAAGCAATAAATAAAGCAATAAAAGAGAAGAGAAGTGAAAAGAACCTCCGTAGCAAGCTTTTATTGCATATCTTTAATTGTGAGGATGCGTTTTGGCAATCCCCCGCTCTACAAGGACTCTCCTCCCCGATTACAGGACTGACTCTACTGTAATTCTAAGAAGAATCGAATGCTGGAAGAAACTTCCTTAACCAATTGTTACCTTTTTAGGCAATCGAAGAGTTCATTCGAAAGAGAGAGAGAAGACAGGTGTCTGGAGTGTGAAAAACGCTCAAATGAGCTTCCTATTTATAGTTTTTGCAGCCTGGCAGCTCGGGACGACCATTTGGGGTCTGGAAAACAGGGATGGCCGTCTGGGGAGGCCAGGACGGCCGTCTGGGATCTGGGACGGCCGTCCCAAGTGTCAAATTTGGTTGGGACGGCCGTCTGGCATGTGGGACGGCCATCTCGACTGTTTTGGCCAGATTTTGTGTTCTGGGACTCCCGGGAAGCTTTCCTTTCCTCAGACGGAAGCCAATTGATTCCGATAGACGTCCACCGAAGCTTCATCTTCAGATAGAAAGTCTTCTTAGCCTTTATTGAGAGGCCGGGAAAAATTAGGGGTCTACATCACTCATACGAAGGCTGGTTAAGAAGGATAGCTTATTCATTGAAGATAATACAATATCATAAAGCAAGGACCTCTTATCTCTAACTCAGTCCAAAAGACTGGAATACAAATTCGATCAATCGTTTAGATGGCGTCCCCTCGAGTAAAAGCTTCCACAGCCGGATATCCACTTCGTACTCCAGCGATTTCTTATAGCGGGAAAAGCATCTATATCAGTTTTCCTTAAATGAAGGATTTCCCAGCGGCATTTCTTACAAGACTAGGGAAGGAAATTGAAAACCAGTGAGACCACCGTCTCTGCTCACTCTTGTTCAACGGTAATGGACTGAAAGGCTTAGGAGACATCGTCTGATTCAGGAGTGGCAGAACCGTTGACACCAGATGCTTGGGCTTCCACCTGTGCGCTATAATTTAGCTAGCCTGGAGTCTATCACGGATCATCGAGCCATATCTTTGTACCGTGTCCAAGCACAAAGCCAAAGACTTCTGCAACAGTCTCACGCACCTGCTAGTCTAGTCGCCCATAAGCTACAACACTTCACCATATTAGCATAACAACTCATGCCACCAACAAATGCTTCACTCTCGGACATATATCCATGCCCAACGTGGCTAACAGCACATCACTTTCAACGCCCAACATCTGGAGGTAAGACAGGGCCGACGCACATCTCATCCATTGAGGGAAAGTGCCATGGTCCTTTGACCACTAGACTTCGTCTTCGCCACTGACACAAGGTCCATTTGACATGCCACGCGCATTCCTTTGATCCGCGCCTCTACCAAAGGTCACAATCTAGCTCTTGGGTTCCCGACCCTTTTTATTTATCGATTAGGCATTGTCCTTCACCCTGTATGCGACTGAAGTGCTTACCGGCGCCCTTTACACATCCTGGCCAACAGTCCTTGCTTGTTGGTCCTTCCGAGAAACCGAATCTCGTCTTGATCCTCTGATCCAAGGTAGCACCGCACTCAAGTACTTTTACATATATTTTCTTTGTCTTCACCTACTTGAAGCGAACACAAGCTCCAAATTCGCCTTATAAGCAATCGAGCACCAAAGCCGATCTTCCTGACAGGCCGCATCCTCCATGGCCAACTCGTCAGTCTGACACTGACGGAGCAAGCATCTTTAAGAGTTTCTTTTAACGAGTCTCCCACACTCACAGGCACATTAGTCAGGGATCCCTATTGTAGGTTAGGTGCCAAGGAATCAATGAAAGCACCGACCATGTCCTCATAACCAGCCCTAAAGCTACTAAATTCTTTTTGGCCGCCCCTCTGATCTGAACAAGCCTAACCATGGACTTCGTGAGTGGCTCAAGAATGGAATCCAATAAAATCTCACTTCTGCCCATGCTAATCTTCCTTGGGCATTCTATTTCCCCTTGCGTGCTGGACACTCTTGTCCGAAACAAAGAAGCCCTGGACCCAAAAAAAAGGCTTTGTTGGCAATCCTTATTATAAAGAAATTCAAAGTCTAAATTGAAGACTTTCATTTATTTATAATAAGCAAAGCAGGACTTATTCTTTCTTATCTAGTTACAGCTGATAGGGAAAGCTATTGTACTCTATAAAGCAAAGCTAGTCTCATAAGACTAGCTAAAAGACTCTATTCCATATGCCAAAGCTTGGAGTGGGAGTTCGGTTCGATCCCTGGAAACATTCTTTACTTCACAAGAGTCCCCCTCGGATCAGAGAACTGGCTTGACACAGCCAAAGAAAAGAGGATAGTTCGATCCCAGATTGAACCGAAGCCTACTTCCTTTTTCTCGGGATCTTTCTCTTTCTTTCGGGAAAGGGAACAGCACCCTACTATGAAACTATGAATAACAGCAGTTCCTAGCCTGGGCATCATCTCATCACTTTTTGTACGCTATTTATTCATGAGTCATAACACCACAATCCAACAGACCTTCCCCACTAGACTGGAGTAGCGAGAAGATAAGCCTACCTAGGACAGAAAAAGCAAAGTCAGAAGAAAGGGGCCGAGGAAGAACCTGAGATCATGGAGTAGGAATAACATTCTCATTCATCAAGAACTTTTCTTCCATACTGTCCTATGGGAAATAAAGACTGTAGGACTGTAGCCATCTTCGGGTCGGGTTAACAACCACAGAAAGGAAGGGAAAGAGATCGGAAAGCACTCACTGAGTTACTTACGAATCAGAAAGATTGAGGCTTACTACGGCCTCAGATGATTAGGCGGGGAAAGAATATGTTGTTAATTCCCTTTGTTGCTGAACCTCATCCGTACACTTACGTACTCAACTAAACAAGGGCAGAGTCTGATCGACGGGAGTTCACTCACCAGGTATAGGCTCAGGAAGCAAGCAACAACTGCTGCGGATCCTGGAACGAAATGAGAATTTTCAATAGGCTTTTTTCTTTTTTACTCGAGTTCAAATCATTGGTCCGGGGTAAAGGAATGATATCCTAAGGAAGCAAAGCTAAAGTAATCGGTTGAACGCGGTCTAGGTAGAAGTCTTCCTATTCTTGCGTTGTGCCGGAAGTCTTTAAGACTTTCTTGATGCTAGGGAAGGGAGTAGCTATTGAATATAATCAAGTTCAGCAGTCCAGGCGGGAGGAGTTAATCTGTAATTCCCGTAGTTCCATAGGCAGGAAGCGCATCAACGAGTTTCCGTATCTCGGCAGTAGGGACCGAACTTCAAGCAATAGGGATCCGTGTTCAAGGCAAGGATCTATGTAATATGAATAGTAAGTTGCGCACCCGTCAAGCAGTTCTCACTCCAAGCAGGACTCTTCTATGGATTAGTGGGAAGGCGCAGGATAAGAGACGATTCGTCTATCTAAGTTGCTGACGAGCCAGTACTGTTCGTGGGCAAGCAAAGTTTCAACTCGCAATCCATTTCTACAGAACGGAGAAAGGTTATGCAGGCGGGTGTTCATTTGCAGTTGCTGGTCGGGGCCGTGGGGATGGAAAGAAAGATGAATAGTTCGGTTGGCCTTGGCCGGAGATGGAGACACTGGTGGGTAGGTAGAGAATACCTAGAGACAACTCTCTCTAAGCCCCGGGGGAAGCTCGATGCGGGTCTTTGCCTAGCCTTCTCCTCTGCTCTGACTCCGGTTGATGTGCCTTCTCCAGTTTCAATGAAGAAAAACTAGTGGAATGCATTCTTCCAGGCGGAAGCCCATTCCTTGTGCTCAAGTCAATTAATTAAATTTATAAGATTCAAAGAAGGAGATGAAAGAGCGGGAATTTATTATTGACCAAGGCAGAGGGATTTCCCAGCAGAGAGGGCAGTGACATATAAAAAAGATTCCGGGTTAACACACCGCCTTTAGTTCAGTTCATGGACTGACGCTTATGAGGAGAAAAGGCTCTGGCAAGAGTTTCAAAAGAAAGACCGGGCCATGGACTGGACGAGGGAAGGACTTGGAAGCTGCCTTTTCTTGTCAGCCCAATGAAGATGGCATGAATAGTTGGAGTTGGTGCTTCTCCGTTCGAAAGTAAGAACAACTTCCATCTGACCGCTTTCACGCTTCCTGAATCCAGCCGGTGAATCTAATATGAATAGTTCGCCAGGGGGAATTTTATCTTCAGGTAAGGTGCGTATTGTATCGGATAAAAGGCTGCGAATAGGCCTCCTCTCCACCTGGGCGAAAGATAGGGCTAGAGGAGAGCGCTGGAAAGAGAGGACTTTCCTAACAAGCCTTAAGCTTGAATGAGACACCGGGCATCTATCTTCTTTTCTTTCACAAAAACTCATTCGATTGCTCGTGACGGGATGGAGAAAGATGGGGGTAGGGACTCTTGGGCAAAAAAAGAATCCTTAATAAATATAATATAAATAATATAATATAAATAAATTGTATGTTAGGGCTAACCTACCCCAAAGCAAAGGAAGGATAGGGTAAAAGGTTATTCCAATCTTTCGGATTAAAAAACCTAACCAACGATTCATATTATGGCAAGGCACTTCTTACTGGGCGTCTCTCCGCAAAGACGCTTCTTTCTGTATGAGTTACTGATCTACTGACAATGTAATAAGAGTGGAGGGCAATGAAATGGAATAGAAAGAATTTTCTCCCTATGAGCGCTATTGTTCTTTCCCACCCTTTAAATCTATATCTTTATAGTAAGCTTGATCGGTCGAATGACCAGGAGGGGCTTGTTAAAAAAAGCCATTCACCGCGTTCGGTTCAGTACTTACCATAGGATATGGCCTTCCTTTTAACATTCGTAAGAAGGGAGTTTACCTTATACTTACTGAATTTCATAAAGAAAGAAAGACAGGGTAGAAAAAAAAAGCACCAATCAGTCAAGCTCGTGGCACACTGACTATATTCCAACTTCTCTGCATCAATGCACTCACTACCTTCTAGCCAACCAAGTCAAGAAGTCTTTTCAAGAAGAAAGTCACACCACTAATAGATAGGCAGAAGAAGAGATTCCCAGCTACTTACTCTAATAAGACTAATAGTCGTACCGCAGAAAGAAGAGATCAAGATCTCAGTCGAATCTAATTGGCCTCTCGTTGTCCTAGGAAGAAATATATCAATTCCTACTGCGTTCCAGAAACGTCTTCCTCTTTGGTTATCCTAACAGTATCTAGGAATCTAGTCCCGCCCCAGGGGTATCTAGTCAGCCATATTCCCGCATGCAATATTCACCCTGCAGTAACAACGTTGGTATTGCCATAGATGACAGTATGAACAGGCGTTGCGCATTAAGGCCTCTACATCCCCTTATCCCTTTTTGAGTAATACAACTAGTACCAAACCTTAGGTTGTTTGTACTAATCCTTACTCAGTTAAATAAGGGGGAACCCACCCTGTAACTAAAACTAAATTAAAAAAAAAAGTTCAAGGATTTCAAGGAGCCCGAAGGGCAACTTCGTTTGGCAATATCAGGAAGACTTCGCTTCTTTGACCCGAAACGGTCGAGCAACCGCTACCTCTGAACGGCTGCTGCCTACATAACCCATATCCCCTTTTACCAAGGAAGTGGGTGTAGACCCCTAATTTTGCCCGGCCTCTCAAATAAAGATAAAGGAGATTACCCGTAACAAGATAAAGCTCGTCTAACATTACAAATAAGAGCCAAGGAGACTTCCCATATGAAGATAAAGCTTCAATAGACACATATCGGCATCAACTGACGTCCAAAACAGGCAAGGAAAGCTTCCCGGAGTCCCGAAACGCGCGAAACTGGCCAGAACAGGTTGAGACGGCCGTCCCAGTTGGGACGGCCGTCCCAACCTCTTAAATCCAGTTGGGACGCGCGTCCCAAAGTTGGGACGGCCGTCCCAAACCCATTTTAAGTGGAACGGCCGTCCCGGCCTTCCTGGGGTCCCGCTCCGTGTAAATTTGCCATTTGGGACGGCCATCCCGGTCCAGGACGGCCGTCCCAACCCGGACGGCCGTCCCAAAGTGCGCCACTGCTGAAAAACTATAAATAGGAGGCTCATTTGCCACTTTTTCACACCACGAGACACTCCGGAGAGCTCCGAAACACTTTCTAAAACTCGAAGCACTTGTCTACTCTCTCTCTCTCTCGAATGATCTTTCCGATCGCCTTAAATAGGTAACAATCGGTTAAGGAATTATATTCCAGCATTTGATTCTTCTTTAAATTTTTAGTAGAGTCGATCTTGTATTGGTGAGGAGAGACCGTGTAGAGAGAGGGTTGCCAAAACGCATCCTCACGATTCGAGGTTCTCAATATAAAGCTTGCTACGGAGGTTCTTTTCAATTCCCTTCTCTTTTATTGTTTTATTTATTGTTTTATTGTTTTATTTAGCTTTATTATGTCATGTAGAATAGGATCATGTAGATAATTGCTTTAATATCTCTTTTATTGCTTTATCTAGCTTTATTCATCATTTTATACATGCAACATAGAATAAAATCATGTAGATAGCCATTTAATATTATGTAATAAAATAGGGTAATCGCGTAATTTCTCGTAGTCTTTATTTAAATGAATTAATCATCATAGGGAACCCGAAAGGGGCGTTGTGGGGTGCTAACACCTTCCCCACACGTAACTAACTCCCTTACCCAACTCTGGTTATAATGGCCAAGTGCGGTTTTTCTTAAAATCAACATTTTTTCCTTTTCCAATGTTTATGGTCAAAACATTGGTGGCGACTCCATAAGAACCCCTTTTCGAAAACATTTTAAAACAAATACGCGAGTCCAAACCATCTTTTCGCGACCGCTCGCATAAACGTTTCGAGACGTCCCCCAGGACGTCGAAAGGGACGGCGGCGACAGTGGGTATTAGACCTCCTGTAGTTCTCACTACAAAAAAAAAGCCTATTACCTACGGATACAAATCCGTAGGTAAATTTTACATTACCTACGGATATTACCCACGGATAAAAATCCGTAGGTAAATTTTACATTACCTACGGATATTAACCACGGATGAAAATCCGTAGGTAAATTGTACATTACCTACGGATATTACCTACGGAATTCTATCCGTAGGTAATTATCCATTACCTACGGATATTACCTACGGATATTACCCACGGATGAAAATCCGTAGGTAAATTGTACATTACCTACGGATATTACCTACGGAATTCTATCCATAGGTAATTATCCATTACCTACGGATATTATCTGTAGGTAATGTAATCCGTGGATAATTCCGTAGGTAATTACCTACGTAAATACTATCCGTAGGTAAAGTGTACATTACCTACGGATATTACCTACGGAATTTTATCCGTGAGTAATTATCCATTACCTACGGATATTTTTCGTAGGTAATATCATCCATGGGTAATTCCGTAGGTAATTACCTACGGAATTACTATCCGTAGATAAATTATATTAAACTAAAAAAATTGTCACTAGCAAGAATCGAACCCAGTATCTTAAAATTTAAAACTGATACTTCAACCACTAAACTATTAGGATATTCTAATAATAATTTACAACTAAATTATACTTATATTAATTCGTGTAAATATATAAATATAAAATATATAAATATATAAATATATAAATATAAAATATATAAATATAAAATATATAAATATATAAATATATAAATATATAAATATATAAATATATAAATATATAAATATATAAATATATAAATATACAAATATATAAATCATAAATACATAAATACATAAATACATAAATACATAAATATTTAAATATTTAAATATTTAAATATATAAATATTTAAATATATAAATATTTAAATATATAAATATTTAAATATATAAATATTTAAATATATAAATATATAAATACATAAATATATAAATACATAAATACATAAATACATAAATACATAAATATATAAATACATAAATACATAAATATATAAATAGATAAATATATAAATAGATAAATATATAAATATATAAATACATAAATATATAAATATATAAATACAAATATATAAATGTATATATATATATATATATATATATATATATATAAATATATCAAAATATAAATATATTTTATATTTATATATATTTTATATTTATATATATTTTATATTTATATATTTACACTGATAAATATAAATATAATTTATTTGTAAATTATTTTCAAAATAACCTAATAGCTTAGTGGTTGGAGTATTAGCCTCCAACTCGGCAGATCGTGTTCAATCCTCGCCAATGATAATTCCCTTAATCTAATAATAATTAAAAGTTTCAAAAATATAATAAATATTAAAAATATAATATAAAGGGGAGGGGGTTCTAGGTAATAATAAAAAATAAGGGAGGGGTTGTAATAAATAAAAATATTTTGTTAAGGTAAGTGCATTACATACGGATTTTCTACGGAAAGAAATCCGTAGGTAAAGTGACATTACCTATGGATTTTTGTCATTACCTACGGATTTTACCCGTAGATAATAAGCGTTTTTTTTGTAGTGTCTAGGCCCCTTTTATTGATTTATTTATTGATTTTGTTCGACTAGTTCCTTTCAGTGCTGAGTTCCTTACAGCCCCTGACTGTACTGAAGTAGCTTATTCACTCCAGCACAGAAGTAGTCTAGTGAGGAATCCAATCCCCTAAAGAGAAATAAGAAAGAATGGAATTGATTCGTTACTTTTTGTTTTGGGGTCCCCTTTATGTATGTTATGGAAGACGGGAGCAGAAGTCGACCCTTCCCCCGCTTCGTGAAGGAAGTGGTCTTGGGCCCGGAGTTGAAGCTGGGGGGAATTCATAACCCCTTCAAGGGCCTGCCTCCGAGCTGCAAGCCGGGCCTCCGTTTGAGAAAGGGGTTCCATCCATCCATTAGGGAGTTAAGTTCTGCCTGCTGTCGCGCCTGTTCTTGGCTACGAACCCGATCTATTTCTCGGGCTTGATCCAACCGGCTGTCGATCTCGTCAAGAACCGTCTTGAGGCGCTGGAACCTTTCTTGTCTGGCCTCCTTACCTTCGGTGGGGGATTCAGCCAAGTGGCGAATCTCCCTCTCCACTTGACTCTCCACTTGCTCGAGCTCCGCGACAAGGTCGGAGAGCTCGTCCCAGGCTCCAGGGGGGAGGTTGAGATCCACATGCACCGGGCGGTTCGAAGAACCGTCCCCGCTTCCACCGGCAGGAGCCATCATACTTATATTGAATTCTGCAGCTGCCGCTGCAGAAAGCAAAGCCAAAGCCGTGAGAGTGAGACCTTCCCCCCCCATCAGCCGGCTCAAAAGGAAGGCGATGGCCTTATGTAAATGGCCTCCTGTCTTTGCTTGTGTTGTGTAGTATGACGTCCACGTCGTCTTTTACTCTTGTTCCTTAACTCGTCCCTTCGCGTAGCCCACGGAGCGGTTCGTAGGTTAGCTCGTTAGTAAAGCAAGGAAATCCTACTGGCGGTAGCGGTTGTACCTTTGACCTATGTCTAGCCGCTTCTTTGATCATCGCATTCATTATTGATTCACATTCTATCCTCGGGCGGGAAGTCTCAAAGCTCTTTTGCCAGCATTGAGGAACCTGAGAATTTTGATTGATTAAAGTAGTTATCCGATAGACGCAATTTGACAATTAGCGGAGGTGTCACCTTCTAAACCTACTTTTCTTGAGTCAATAGAGTACGACCTGGATCAACAAAACCCATCCCCGTCTGAGTAGATACTTCCTAAGAAGTTTTCAAAGCAAGGGAGGAATGAACTTCTAGCTTGATTACCGGGAACCCTCTCTTGATAGATGAAGAACCCCTGGCCAAGCGCTCGGAAAGTGCTCCTCCAGCTGTCTGTCCCGCAGAGAGGTAGTTAGAATAGACTCCGAGACAAGAAGCTGACAGAGAAGCAAGGGTCTTGAGGGGTGAGCCCTATGACTAAAGATACACGAGCTCCTCTACACCCATTTCCTCGGAAAGCCCTTTTGCCAGCTTAGCGTAGAGAGATAGCAAAATTAAAGGAAGAAGATATGGGTAGATCAAAGCCGGCTGAAGGCCCAGAATGGGATACGGGGACGAAAGCTCAGAGACCATTTGTTCAACTTCTCTACCAGAAGCGGAAGATGAACCCATATGAATTTAGTTCTAAACCACCTGATTGATATCATGGCGTAGATATAACATGATTCTATTTCTTAGCGGGAAGAGCCTCTCCAGCCTTAGGGGAGAACCAAAGACCCCTTTTCTCTTTCTCTACTTAGCCGCGGGCAGAAGATCTCCTCCCTATAAAATAAAGAAGGGAGCACGGTCTTCATTCGAGAGAGCTTATTTTCAGTCTTTTCCCCGAATCAGCACGATGGTCATCTCCTTCCTACCTGACGAGCACATCAGACAATCGGCTCTTTCATGACTCCATAACAACTACCTTATCCATTGATCTCTTGTGAATGTGAAGGTCCCAAGAACTACCTTCGCTTTTCAAGCTGCAGCTATTGCTATTGTTGTGCTTGGGAATTGTTTGAGCTTATATCGATCGTTAGCTTCACGAATCTCCCCACGGTTTATCCTGCGATTTCTCTTTACTGAACCTGGCCAAAGGATTTCTTTTACAATGTATATGTCTTAGTTGACAAAGCTGTTTACGTAATAGGCTGCTGGCTAGAAAGATAGGAATTTGGAATGTTGAGATGACTGGTAAGTTTATCGAAACACTCGAGTAGATGCTTTCAACAAGCCCCGCTCACAGATAGCTAATGAGCTAGCTCTTTTAATTAATTAATTAATTAATTAATTAATTAATTAAAAAGGAACCAGCAATACTGGATGCGATGTTTGGAACAAAAAGACCACCAAAGGTTCCCGAAATGTTCGCAAATGACTTGTCATATGGCCGTACAGAAGAACACGCAGACATGGACAATTTCAAAAAAATGATTTATTAGACTCAGGTTCACTCCAAAAATGGAAGAGCTTAGCAAAGAAAGAAGAAAACGACCATGCTCGGAAACCACAGGTGGCGTGGAAGACAGGTTCCCGAACAGAATTAGTTGAAAGCGAAAATAGAAAGTCCCAGAAAGAGAAATAAAGGGTGAGGAAGGAAAAAGGGGCCCATCGACTGGATTACTAGACTGCCTTCCTTGCCTGCCTGCCATGGTACACTTCTAGTATGAGTGTACGGATCTATTCCACCAACATCAACTGAGGCAAGAGCGTCTTTCACAGCTGATTCAAGAACAGCCATTCTTATTATTTATTTTATTCTCCCGGGATCAGAAAAGGCTAGGCACCAAGGCTACGAAACTAGGCTATGAAAGCAGAGAGAACTCAAACTCCTAAACTAAACCTAAGGCAGCCTTTCTCCTTATTATTAAAAAAAAGAAGAAATAGCACCAGCCTAATCCAATCCAAGAATGTCGACTCTGATCTTTACTATTTTGCTATTCAAAGCAATCTGCCCAATGAGCTACGGGTATATGAGCTAAGGCCAGTGGATTCCTCTCTTTCTTTAAATTCCTTAATTAAAAAAGAAAAGAAGACAGGACAGACAGACTTGATCAATCAAGTCAGCAAACTCAAAGCATGAGTTCTACCCTTTGATCGCTATTAGATATCTGATATCAGAAAGATACGCGGACGACTTTACTATAGTAAGTAAGTAAGTAAGTAAGTAAGTAAGTAAGTAAGTAAGTATAGGTCGGATGTTTCCGTGAGCAGTAAGCAGCAGATCTCCCCTTATTGATTTATTGATTTTTGGAAAGCTGGTGGCCGCCTGTGAATTCAAGGCAAGGGGCGGCCTGATTCGACATTGTTGTTTACTCTGATCCGGTCGAGGTGGTTTTCGTTTACCAGCGCGTAGGCGGTCTAAGTTCCTATGACCGAGTCTTTCTGGCCCCTGTGAACATCTTTTCTTAATGTATTAAAGAGGGCCTCTCTAACCGGTGAAAAGTGGTGGGTGTCCACTAACGGCCATTCCTGGCTCGGCTCCGATAACGCAATTCCGGAAGGAGTCGGTAGTTGGGCACTGGATCCCTTCGGACCTGGAGAACGTGTGACGCTGGGTCGGGGTTTGGTGAACCAACTGGTCGCTCCTCTAGTTGAAGTATCGGGCCCCTTTTTCTTTCGTTGCCTAGGTTACACCTTCGGAATACCCCAGAAGGGAATTTTTATCTATTTCCCTCAATCTTCACTTTACGCCAGGCCTCCCAGTTCAAATACGTCATAAGGCGTGGAATTAGACCAAGGGGAATCTCCATAGGAACTAGTCCCTCAGATTTCGCACGTAGGAGATCGAGACACAGCCCCACCCCAGGGCTATGAGGAAAGATGTAGATCGATCGCCTCAGATAGACAACTACATAGAGGGTCTCTACAAGTCTATATATTCTTTTTTATTTCATTCCCCCCGTAAGATCTGTTAGAAAAGGAGGCTGAGATCAAGAGAGGGGTGAATTGATCTTTGAAATATTTTCGCAAATTACAGATTATCTATTTCAAAGATTAAGAGTTCTGACCAACTCTTGAATCAAACAAAACAAACAATCAAAATAAAAGCAGCAGCAGAATTAAAGAGAGATACAACCAAGATTTATACTGGTTAACCCAATCCCAGGGCTACATCCAGTTCTTAGCCAAATTCTAGCTGAGTTCCACTAGATTGAATGTTTTACAGATTACAACTCCAATCACACACTCAATCTACCACAAGAACCAAAATTTCAGTCCTTACACCTAAACTTCACCAAGAACCAACTTCCAGTTCTTGAACCACCCTGCAACCAAATTCCAACCACAGAAACCAGTGCCCACACTTCCAGACACTCACAATATAGTAATGAAATGTAAAAGAAACAAAGAGAAGAAACTAGAACACTCAAACCTGGATTATGTTGCTCTGCAGAATGAGTTTCTTCACTAAAGAAATGCAGAAAATGCCTCAAGAAAGAACTTTGAAAAACTTCACAAAACTTGCGTGATTCTTTCTTGAAAGTAGCTCTTATGATTGCTTGATTGATTTCTCAAAGGTATATTTTAAAAGACTCAAGCAATCATGTTTATAGAAGATTGTTGAAATTGCTGGTTTAATTAATCTGTTAAAACAATCTTTTAATCTGTTAAAAGTCTTGATTTAATCTGTTAAAACTTCTTTTAATCTGTTAAAATGTTCTTGATCATTTTCCATATTTGTTTTAACTGATGCGACATCGTTTCAATCAATTAAAACACTTTTTAAAAAATTCCTTAAGTTGTTTTAATCGATTAATTCGTCTTTTAATCGATTAAAATACTGCCAAATGTTTTCATAAAACTTTCTAAGTGATTTTAACTGATAACAATTTGTTTTAATCGATTAAAACACTTTGGAAAAAATTCTTAGTTGTTTTAATCGATTATTTCGCATTTTAATCGATTAAAATCATGCCAAATAGTTTCATAAAACTTTCAAAGTCATTTTAACTGATAACACATCGATTAAAATCCTGACAGAACTTCTTTCAAAAACTTTCAAGTGGTTTTAATCGATTAATTCACATTTACATCGATTAAAATACTGACAGAACATATTTCCAAATGCTTCAAGTTATTTTAATCGATTATTTCGAGTATGTATTGATTAAAATACTGCCAGAACATTTTTCAAAACATTCTAAGTTATTTTAATCGATTATTTCGAATCTACATCAGTTAAAATACTGGCAGAAGGTTTTCAAAAACTCCTTTAATGAAAACAATCGATTAATTCGAAGATATATCAATTAAAACAGTTTCAGTGTATGTTTTAAAAGGTTTTAATCGATTGTTTTGAAAACCTATTAGTTAAAAACCTGTTATGTAAGTGTTAAGAACATTTTAACTGATAAAGCTCATATAATATCAATTAAAACAATTACTTAAAAACCATTTAACTGATTACTTTGGTTTTTAACAAATTACACGTGTTTAGAGGCATTTTGCAAAATCTTTTAAATGATGAAACCTCATGCAGCAGAGAGATATGAATGATTATACCTATGTATAGACGCAAACTCACTAATCACTCTACCTTTTTATCCAAGTAACCTTTGACTTCACCAGAATAGCGTTTGACTTCATTTTGACTTCATCAAATCAACAAGATCTTTGTTTAATCAAATGATTCAATAATGTTGAACATACAAGGACTTAATGTTGAACTCACATGGACATGAAGCTTGTTGATTTTGATGATGATTCAAGAACAAAGAACTTAGAGAGTTGAAGACTTGTATTCTTGTGTAATAAGTCTGTTTTGATGAGTTTGAGTCTGTAATATTAGAGTCTAAGATAGTCAGTACATAGTCTACTCTTTAGAAGCTTCAAAAACTCATTTTTATCAAATACTCACGGGTTTAATCGATTAAAAGACCAAATAATCGATTATTACAGAGAGAAAAATCATTTTCTGTATCAGCTCTCTGTAATAATCGATTAACACTCCTGTTAATCGATTAACAGACCTGTTAATCAATTAACAGGGCAAATAATTGATTAAAATAGTGTGTTGAGGGTTCCTATTGATTTTGGCTCTATAATAATCGATTAACACTTGAGATAATCGATTATTTCAGTTAGATTTGCATTTTAAACTTAAAATTAAACCTATTTTCGAAAACCCTAGTCCCAATACACCAAGTTTCAAAAATCCCCAATTCCCAAACCCTAATTCATCTACTTAAGGTTCTCTAAGGCTCTCAGAAAATTGAACAACTTTTTTCAAACAAAAGTTGAGAGTTGTGATTGCCAGAGAACTGTTTGTTGGAGGAAAAAGGGGCTTTTAGAACCTGGTGTGGGCTAGAAGCGATAAGAATCACTAAGTAGAGTTCTTAATGGATTGTGTGTTGTGCCGTCTCTAGGGAAAGTTGTTCTTCATCTCTTGTGTGACTCAAGAGAGGTGTTTTTATTACTCTATCTTTTCCATTGTTATCTGTTTGTAATAACTTTGATTATAGTGATAGCGTTAATCCTCTATTTGAATGATTAGCAACTGGACTAGGGTCTTTTGATCCGAACCAGTATAAATCTTTTGTGTAAGACTCTATCCTTATCCTATTTACGTTTACACAGTATTTTAATCGGTAAAATTTAGGGAAAATTTTTAAAACCTAATTTTTGTCAAGAAACCAATTCACCCCCCTCTTGGTTTTTGTCCGTTCACGCAAACATTCCGCTGCACGATTCTAACAAGTGGTATCAGAGCTTGCTTTGATAGTCATTCAAATTTTTCGAAAATGGCCGAACAAAATCAAACTTTTGCCGAAGGTGCTTCTATCAACAGACCCCCACTTTTTGTGGGTTAAAATTATCCTTTCTGGAAATTTAGAATGCAAATCTTTTTAGAGTCTGTTGATAGAGGTGTTTGGGACGCTATTTTAAACGGTCCCTATATTCCAAAAATTTCTGAAAACGGAGTAGATGTTCCTAAACCATTTTCTAGATGGACAGCGGAGGAAAATAGAAAAGCTCAATTTGACGTTAGGGCTAGAAATATTATTTCATCTGCTTTAACCCTTGATGAGTTTTACAGGATCTCCGTTTGTAAAAATGCTCAAGAGATGTGGGAAATGCTAAGAGTGACCCACGAAGGTAGCGACGATGTTAAGAGAGCACGGAAAAATTCTCTAATCCAAGAATATGAGATGTTCTGAATGCAACAAGGTGAAACGATATTTGACGTTCAAAAGCGTTTCACATACATTGTGAACCATCTCACCGGGTTAGGTAAAATTTTTGACGTTGATGAATTAAATGTTAAAATCTTAAAATCTTTGGATAGGAAATGACAACCTAAAGTGACGACCATCTTGGAGTCACAAAACCTTGCCACAATGTCTATGGCGGCGCTCTTTGGAAAGTTGAGAGAGCATGAGCTTGAGATAGGAAGGCTAAATGATGAGGAAG